CGGTGCTCCCAGACAGCTTCTGCTAGTTGAGGAGAAGTCTCACTGAGCGGAGAGCCAGCCCCGGGCAGCGCTCATAGAGACGGCCACGGGGATGCTGGACAAAGCAGGGGGAGAGAAATACCGTTTTCTATGGGATGGAGTGTAAACGTCTCCGGGCTGGCCTTGAGCCCAAACTCCTATTTGTTTTCTAGCTAAGGATGTGGTGGGAACTCAAAATCAGAGACTTCCAGAAGATCCCGGCCACCAGCTGGTGCCGCAAGCAGAAACCCCTCAGGTCTTGCCAGCACCGGACCTTTGTTTTTTCTCCTGTAGCTTTGCCTTGGCTCAAGACCCAGCTGCACGAGTGCCCTTGTCCCTGGGAGCTCTTTTGAAGGCCTGGTTGTCCCTGTGCTCTGCAAGAGCAGACAAGATGTGGGTCTTTCTGGGGACCCGGTCAGTCCTGAACTGGGAGGAGAAGACTGGAGTCTGGGCATCCAGCTTAGGGGTGCTGTGAAGAAACCACTGGGGACAGCCTGTGTCCCTTTGTGACCAGGAGGAGTTTCAGCAGGAAATTCAGCCTAGTCCTGGGGGGGGGGGCACAGCCTCTGCCTTAAGGATGTAATTTCAAAGGGGATGATACTTCCCAAGCATCAGTGTGTCAGACACAAGGCCAGGACCGAGGAATGAGCATGGTGAGAGTTGAGGAAAAGCTGAGATGTCCTCCAACAGGCAGGCCCCAAGGAAGGCTGCCTGAAGGGGGCAGCCCATGAGCCCTGCAGGACATGGAGGGCTCAAGGGTGGCGGAGGGCTCAAGGGGGTAGTGGAGGGGACTGGGTTTGCCTTTCAGAACCCAGTGGTCTGATTTCCACAGAAAATTCCTATAGTAATTTGGTAAAGCTCCTGTCCTCCAAACATGGAAGGGAAATGGGGATGTGGGAAGGGTAGCAAGTAGGGCTCAGCTGATGCTGTCTTCTGTGGCTCCACTGGCTCTCCTCTTCTCCTTTCCCGCTGGGTGCAGAGCCTGCTCATTCTGCACCTTGATCCTGTAAGGCTTCCTGGTAGCAGCTTCCTTAGAGCTGGAGGGTCAGGCAGACTCCGTCCCATCCAGCCACACTCTCAGGGGTTCCAGGGGCAGTGCCAGAGCAAAGGGGATGTGGTGCTTGCATACCCTCAAGGGTTCGCCCTGTGGAAGAAAATCAGCCAGCAATGTCTGTTGCTGTGTAACAAACTACCCCACAATTTAGTAGCTGAAACATATTACAGGTTCGGTGGTTTAGGAATCCAAGTGGTTTAGTGGTGTCTCTGCCTGGAGGGTGGGGTCTCACAGGCCACAGTCTTCATGTGCTCAGGCTATGGTCTCATGTGAAGGTTCAGTCAAGAGGAGATGCTGTCACTCACACACAGGTGCAGTTGACAAGATTCAGTTCCTCTCTAGCAAATTGACAAAGGCCCTCGTTTTCTGCTTTTTGGCTAGAGGTCTCACTTAGTTCTTAGCATGGGCTTATTGACAGTATCCACAGTGCACCTCCCATGTGACAGGTACTTCCCACCTGATCAAAGCAAGAGAGAAAATAAGGAAGTGGCCTCTTTGTCATCCATCTGACTTGATAAGGAACATTCTGGGATGTTCTGCTATTTGTGGGAGTTCAAGCCCATACTGGGGTACATGAACCAGGAAGGGAGATGTTGACGACCACCTCATGGTTCATCTCCACAACTTACCATGATACCAGACTCCTCGGCTGTCTTGGGGACACAATGCTGTGTTCAGTATCTTGTTACCCTATTGTCTGACTTTTTAAACACTGAAGGCCTGTTACATCCCGAGATATGACCAAGGAGTAATAGGCACATGCTTGATTGAGCCATCTATGGTCTCCGTTGACCCCTTTTCAAGGCAGTTAATTTCCTTGAATTTCCCAGTCTGAGTGATGTACAGCATCTAAGGCTAGGTTGCCCCTCAAACAGCAAGCTTAGGCCCTCAGCTGATACCTCAGATGTCCCTTAGGACCAGTCTACTAACTGGGGGAGCCGATGGATAAGCATGGGGGGAAGTCAGCCTTGGTACCCTTGCCTGTATCCACAGGAGCCACACAGATAAGGCTTGAAGCACAGCAGAGCCCATATCTCAGTAGAGAACCTTTTAACCCTCCTAGACAAGAGCAGGTACACGCACCTCCCCGTGGTCTTGAGCTCTAAGACTTTAATGAGGTCCACAAATCCTCTCAACTTGCCCCAGAGCCATTAGTTCTGCAACAGGGTGTTCCATCTCAGCATGGCAATCTTTGGTGACTTTTTAGTGTTTCCCACCGCCTGGTTCATGAAGAGCTGGTACCCTTGGCTGTTTTGTCTATAGAAGTAATAAACTCAATCTATAAAGGACTGTTTGTACCGGGATGGAATCTAGGTTGTTACACATAAGAAACAGTATCCACTGTGGCCTTGTTACAACCCTACCCTGTGTGCATATCTCTTCAGCTCCAGCCTTGCCCTGTGCTTGACAAAATGGAAACCGATCAGTCTGAGGAATAAGAGGACCTTGATTTTACCTCCTCTTGCTCAGTGTCAAATTCCTTTCTCCTCCTGCTCCTTTGGATGTTTGAACCAGAATCACCCTGGCCAGCCATAGATTCAGTAGACTGAAAGGAACCCACCTGGGGCCTGGCCAGCCCTCGAATAGGCCAGTATTTGGGGATGACCATGGAACTGTCTTCTGTTCCTCACACAACAAAGTTGGCATTACTTGTATGTTTATAACAGAATGTACCATTCTGTGTTTGCAAGACCTAGCCACTCCATATCTGTTCAGCCCAAGCACTGAAACACAGTAATCACTTGTTGCTAGAAATGTAAAATAGGATAGCTATTGTGGAAAATTCAGAGATGTCTTACCATGTGACCCTGTGTGGCATATATGAGAGCACAGGGCACAGCTGGGCCCACAAGCAGAACAGCATCCCAAAGGTGGGGACAACTTTGGTAACCCATGGAGGAGAATGAAGCTCAAACTTATGTGCACATGAATGACTATTGAAAAAAACTAGATGAAATGCAGAATATCATGGGATTCCACTTACATGAAGTGCCCCAAAGGCAAATTCACAGAAACAAGAGGAATAGGGAAAAATGTCTCAAATCAATGGAGGTAACCCAGAGCAGTTGTAGGAAATGGGGTATGACTATGGCCAAGATACAATTCTATTCATACCTGAAATTAGTGGTATGTCACCACCCTAGAGGTGGTGGGACCCGGAGAATAGAGACAATAAACGAGGCAAACTAAAGTCTCAGGCACTAGCTAATTTTATGCATAGCATCAATTTATTCTGATGAAGAATCACATGGGTAAAGTGTACAATCACAAGCTGCACTTGACAAAAATGTGGTTTTCCATAGAGGCCTATAAAGCATTTAATTGAATAACAGGTGCAAGCAATGAGTATTCTGAACCTCATTTCTATCCACCACACCTGGCAGGAGCACAAAAACACATTCCAAGAAGTCTGTGTTTTGAAAAAACTGAGCACTCCAAATTCCCACAGGATTCCATTCTTGGACTGTGTTCCTACAGTGGTGGCTTGAGACATGAATGTGCTTGGCATGATTGCTTACTTCAATGTGACTGAACTTGTAACCTTTTGGGGGGCACAGTGTCAAGATTTTTCTGTTTAGCTCTGGCCACCCTAGAACTCGCTTTGTAACCAGGCTGGCCTCAAACACAGATCTGCCTGCCTCTGCCTCCCAGTTCTGGGATTAAAGGCATGCGCCACCACTGCCCAGCTAAACTTGTAACCTACGATGTGTATTTGATCACAGTTTACCAGTGGAGATGGTGGCACATTTATAATCCCAGCACTTGGAAGACTGAGGCAGGAGAATCACTCCACCTTTCAGGCCACCCTGGTCTGCGTGGTAAATTTCCACCTGGGTCACACAGCAGGACTTGATCTCAACAAAACAAAAGTCAACTAAGAGTATTGAGTTAATATAGCTCAATATAATAAAGATAGCTTTTGACCCAATGATCCAATCTCTGAGCATTTTCCTATAGAAATGAAAATCTGTGCTCATCAGATAGATAGGAATGTTCACAGCATTGTGGGCAACAGCTCTAAACAAGCCCAAACCTATGTGTTCACTAGGAGAGTTAGACAAGGAGAGGCATATCTAAATGAGTAGACTACAGTCTTAACAATGTGGAGGAAAGTCACAAAGATGACATTGAAAGAGGGCTGGAGAGATGGCTCAGAGGTTATAAGCACTGACTGCTCTTCCAGAGGTCCTGAGTTCAATTCCCAGCGACCACATGGTGGCTCACAACCATCTGTAATGAGATCTGGTGCCCTCTTCTGGTCTGCAGGGATACATGCAGACAGAATACTGTACACGTAATAAAATTTTTTTCAAAAAAGACATTGGAAGTCATTCTGTGTTTTCTGTCTTGTATTATTCCACCCATGCAGTTTAAGCAGGCAAATTCCACGGCAGAGTGCTATCCATGATCATCTCCTGAGGTCATGACTGAAATGGCTTCTATAATGTGCAAAGTGCTCTGCATTTTTTTTTTTTTTTTGTGGATCTTTGTTATACAACTGTGCCTGCTTGTGAAAGTCACTCAGCTTTATAATTCATGCACTTTTTTTTTTGTAATTTGACTTCAAAGTTTACTAACCACACCACTGTTAGAATGTTCAAATCCAGAATACTGAGAACAGATGCTGGCACAGATAAAGAGAGCAGGCACTCTCCTTCCCTGGTGGTGGGAATGTAAAATGCAGCAGCCATGTTGGAACACACTGGTAATTTCTTCTGAAACTAGATATACTTTCACTATATAATCCAACAGATGCACTCTGGTTGTCTGGTCAAAGAAGCAGAAAACATAAGTCCACACAAATGTCTGCACATGGACAGTGTGACGATTGACATTGGTGATCAACTTGACTGGATTAAGAGATGTTCACAAAATTAGTAAAACACATCTTGTTCTGAAACAGATCATGATGCTCTGACCTAATGAATGCTTTAGCCCATTAGTAGCTTTGGCATTTTGATAGACTGTTAGCAGGGGATGGGGAGGTGGAAAGTGGAAACTAGAAGACGTAAGTCACTGAGGGCTTCTTTGGGATTCTATCTTTCCCTGCTCCTTTCCTGCTGCTGTTCCATGCTGCTGTTCACCATGAAGTGAAGAACCTCCCCTGCCACATACTCCCATTGCCATGACTTCCTTTTGCCCAAGCAGAACTAAAGGAAGGACATGCAGTAGAGAAAATGGAATTTGTCAGGGACTTGAGGTGCTCTTATTACCCATAAACTATTCTAGGGACTTACGGAGCCCAGAGATCTAGAGACGATAGGAAAATTAATAAGTAATGCCCAAAGGAGTAGTAATCCAAGCCTGATGTGGATGAGATTATGAAAGGAAGGAGAAGAGAACTTAAGATCAAGTCAGAACTCAAACTGCCAGGAGTGGTGACACACCTATAATCCTAGCACTGGGGAGGTAGAGGCGTTGTGAGTTCGAGACCAGTCCGGTCTACCTAGCAAGTTGCCTCCACCAAAGAAGATAATTCCATTAAATAACAGCCAGACAGAAGTTGAGCTGTAAATGAGGTGTGGATGGGGTAGTGAATAGGAGTTAAAACCTGGAGAGACATCCACACTTACAAGGGAAAGACAGGCCGAGTGGCAAACACTGCCAGATTTCACATAGAATGATGTCTATTTGCAGGAGTGGGAAGTCACCAGCAAGCTTAGTGAGAGCTGCTCTAGAGACCAATGTGTGATGCCAAGTTGGGGTGGGCTGAGAAGTGGGTGAGAGGTGAGGACAGGAGACAAAGTTCTGTTATTTCAAAATCCTGCAGCGGTCTTGGAGGAGGGCTTTCTGAGAGCAGTGAAGACTTCAAAGAGTGGCCTGGAGGCCTGCTGGGCAGATCCACCTATCACAGCCAGAGAATAACCGGAACAGATTTGCAGCGGAGCAATGATTTGTTGCCTGCTGGACCAAGGGAGTCTACACAACACGTAAAACACAGGTAAGGCGCTGTTGGAAAGGACGGTAGGATGCGGGTGTGTAGTCAATTGATTTGCGGATACGTTTAAGGAAGTGAGGTCTTTTGAAAGTTGTTTGTCAGGAAGAGGCGGTAATTCTGGGACTGGATTTTTTTTTTTCTCTTTGAGACTAAGAGAAAACACACAGAGAAACAAACCTGTGATTAGTAAAGCAGCAGCAGTTTTTGGTTGCTGAGATGAGGGGTGTTTGGTATTTTTGTGGCTTGGCCTACATTGGTGTCGTCTCTGGTCTCTGTCTAACCCAGGGGAACAGCGCAGACTCACGCCACTCGCGGTCGGTCAGAGGCCGCTTTGCCTGCTCAATCGCACGGGAACAACGGACGGGTGCGGACCTGACTCCCTTCGCCTGAGACCGCGCGAGTGCAGGATGACTGCCACTGTCGTGTGGACCGAAAGCCGGTCCGGACGTCGGCTGGGCTCCACCACCCCGCTCTTCCCGGGAAACGCCGCCGCATCAACTTGACAGGAGAGCGGCTGCCCGGGCCAGAAACGCTCGTGCGCTTGCGCAGCCCAACCCCGCCCCCGCGCGTAGCACTCTGGGGCGGCGGCTGCGCGGCGCGCGATTGG